GTAGATTCTTTGAGTGCGGAGACAGACCATATAATTGCAAACAACAGCTGATTTGATTCAAACTTATTACTCGTGTCAATATGAATATGACAAATTATGTTTTTAAAAATGAATTAAACGGCATTTACATTAGAACTTTTTACCGGATTTTCACAGGATTTGACAATTTAAACCAAATAGTGCAATATTAGGGTCATTGTATCAAATAAAATTTTCAATGAACTTATTTTAAATTGGTCCCAAAATGTATTAATTAATGAAATGCTTTCATCCATTTTCGCCGTTTTCAATTGACACGCATGTAAATAAGGTCCTTACGTATTTGGGTAATACAAACGTTCAACAAACCCTATAAAAGTGACAAGGTGGGCACTTTAGTACGCAACGTATTGCATTAGGTTCGAGTCCTTCCAACTTCATATGGATCTACACCACAGCAAATGATTTTGGAAAGTGTGGCTAATACATCCGATTAAATTTCAGCCATTTTTATGACAAATTTGGCTAATATTTCCTCTATAACCATGTTACAAATTACATACATTTGGGTTGGGAAATGTGGCTGAAACAGTAAAAAATCCGTGTCGGACAAATTTTAAACCGAGATTTTATAACCGCTGTTGAAATGTGCCCCCATTCCCCTGTACTCCACATTATGGTAGAGATATAAAAAACAAGCGAATCAATGCAACAGAGACGTCAATAGCAAGCAATGCAAAAAACAACGAGCGTACGAATATGCAGTAAAAGAGATTCAGCTCAGGGACTTGTATCCCGAGCGATTAAAACAGACAGACGCACATGGCGATATCGACATAGAATTTTTCGCTGATCAAGAATATACAGTGCCGCAAAAACTATAGAAACAAGCTTAAGATGGTAATGTGAAAGCATTCTTTTATCGGAAAATCGGATTTTTATAATTAGCACATCAATTTGATGTTATATTTAAGTACATCTTTGCCTACTTTCATTTTCGGTTTTTAACAGAATTATTTTGCACGGCGGTTTTAGTGATAAAGGTGTAATTTTTACATGGAAAAAAAATAATTGAAGCAAAATATTGTCATGTAACTTATGGCCTGTATTTTACTATAAACCTTAAAATTTATAATTATTATTATAAATATACTACCATAACCACTAATGGATCGTACCCCATGATATCTGTGGTATCTATTTACAGACCAACTGGTCTATGTACACACCTGTGGTCTCTCTGTACGGGTTCAATTGACTTGTATATAGATAAATTGGTTTTAATAAAGACCTATGATGTCAATACAGACAGATAAATCCAATTGAAAATACGTGGACTATAATAAAAATGCGATTAAGAAATGAACCCAAAAAAACTGGAGGATACTTGAGTGAAATATGGAATTTTATCATACCAAATGAATACATAATATATATATATATATATAGACCAACGAATTTCTCAATGAGGTGGTTGGGTACAAAAGGATTTTTGTAAAGAAGCTATAATTTGATGAGGATCAGCGGCGAGATTCGAAACTATAGTCTTCCCTGCCTTACCCCTTGGCTGACAATGTCATACTTTTCCAACAAACAATAAACTGGGATTAAACCTGAATATTTTGCAAAAACAAAATATTTTTATTCATTATTTCAGGATTATTTTTCTTTTTGTCTGGGCGCCGATGCACAGTCTGCGAAATTCAAATCTAGCGGGGGGAAAGTCCAAAAATAAATATATATATATGTAAATATATTTTAAGTCTCAAAAATAGAAAGCAATATATACTTTTATTGTTGTTAACCATTATAATGGTACATTGATATAGTAAAAATGGCTGAAAACAGTTCATATATTATTTTTATTAGGGAATTGAGAGGTGATACTTATAAAAATAATGGTAAGCTTTCTTGATGCACTAAAAATTGTAAAAAATGCCCTCTCAATTATTATATATTATTTTTCCCATGGGATAATTACAGATGGCAGCCCTTTTTAATTTGGAACTCATCTATCATTTTTAAATAACATGAAAAATAAATTTCATAAATGTTTTGTGCAAGGCGTTAATTTGCATTAAAAAGTTCTTAATTTGAATTAAAATTTACCCCTGACAGACGAGAGTTTCTGATTTTTGAAAATAAAATTGTTTCTTTACAAATTTTTTAAAATTGATACATGGCAGGAAGGAAAACTAACAGCTATAATGAATATAAAACAGCGCCAAATTTGAAGAAATTTTGAATTTTGCCTTTATTTTTAATTTTTATTTTCGAAACGTTTCATTTCCTTAAAATTTAAATTAAATTCAGTTTGATTTTGTGCATTAACAACACATAAAAATGATACATTTTTGAATTAAGGCTGTTAATGCAAATTAAGGCTGTCGTCTGTCTAGGCTATTACAATCATATAGTTTTAAACTTTTTTCTTTATTGTTTATGAAATAAATTGTCAAAAATTTTTCTTCGACGTTTCATTTCCTGTAAATTTAAATTATGCTCAACAACAAAAAATACATTTATAGGAACAGAAAATGTTACAAGTCTCAAATGACGAAAACATGTATTTTACATTGGGTTCCTGATTATAGGCCTCTGAAATATGGACCTTTAAAATTTGCAAGGGTATCTGTCCATTGGTGTTTGGTATCGCACATTCTGAAATATGGGCCTCTATAATGTCACTAGTGCTTTCTCACGAAAATAACACAATTTGCATGAAAATATCACAATTTGAGTAGCTCGTGTTTAAATAAGTCCATACGTTTAGGGTATAAATCCTCAACCACCATCAAAACCGAGGAAATTGTATATTGGAATCTGCCCATTGGTATTTGTAAAATCTTCGACGGATGTCCAGCCTAACTCATAGTTAGGCACAAAATCTTTGCAATTAAGAAAAGATTCTGTAGTGGATCTCTATATGTTAATTTATATTGAAAAGCATTTGTGGATAGCCGTACTTCGTCGCGAGAATTTGACATACGCTTATGACAATATTGGTATACTGGCTACGTAACACAATCTTCATTATTTTGTGGTCTTTGAGCGGCGATTTATGACACATAACTGTTCCACTGAAAATGGCTGATTTGGAAGCCATAATTAAATAAATATATAGAAGCCACGGGCAGGATGTTGTAAATGTTCCAAAAAACAAAAGATTTCAATTCCTCATAGATTATTTGTTGACAAAATACGAAAACAAATAAATATTTGTTTTTATTTATTTTTGACAAAAACTAATTGTCAACATCACAATTTAATTTCTCTAACAACAATGTTGTTTTTGTAAACTATTTGTTGTTGTATCTGATGCATATACCTTATTAAATACACCTTGTGTTTATGTATGCCGATTGGCATATTTCAATAAATTTAACAAGATATATTTTCTAAAGCTGAACATTGCTCTCAAGATTTAACCATGGGTGTTACATCCTTTATTTATAACTTTTAGAGGCAGGAAACTTCCAAATGTATATAAATATAAATTATTTATCAATTGTTGCCACTGAACACATACTACACGTACATTTCAAAGGAAGATAATTTCCTTTAAATTTTGAAAGCTTAATACTGTCAAAGGCAAATTTATGAAAAAATTGGAAACATGTGACTGCATGAGGCTACCACGTATAATTATGCCATGTTTTTTCCATTCCATGAGACTACCATGTATAATAATGCCATGTTTTTCCCATTAATACAATTTTGTATAAGTTCCAACTTGTATGTCAGCCTTGCCTGTTGTTTTTTACGCTGTGCCAAATTTCGTGCAAACCGAAAGATATTAAGAGACTTGGTACACCATTTACCTTAAATCGGACGAAAATATATATGGGAGCTATATCTATTTTCACGATTTTCACGAAACTTAACATTCATTCTAGACCTAATTCATTACGCTGTGCCAAATTTCGTGCAATTCGAAAAATATATAGGGACTTTTTGCATCATTTACATTAAATCGAACGAAAATATATATGGGAGCTATATCTAAATCTGAACCGATATTCAGGAAACTTTACACACATCATTCTATACCTAATTTATTACGCTGTGCCAAATTTCGTGCAAATCGAAAAATATATATAGAGACTTTGGTGCACCATTTACATTAAATCGGACGAAAATATATATGAAAGCTATATCTAAATCTGAACCGATATTCAGAAAACTTAACACACATTATTCTAGGCCTAATTTATTACGCTGTGCCAAATTTCGTGCAAATCGAAAAATATATATAGAGACTTTGGTGCACCATTTACATTAAATCGGACGAAAATATATATGGGAGCTATATCTAAATCTGAACTGATTTTCCCAAATTTCAATAGGGTTCGTCCTTGGGCCAAATAAGTGACCTATGCCAAATTTGATCCAAATCGGATCATAAATGCGACCTGTACTTTGTTCAAAAAAATATCTGGACGGACAGACGAACATGCGTAAATCGACTCAGAAAGTGATTCTATGCATATTCTCAAAAGGAACCATGTGTCTAACTCGTTTCCTTTCGCCTGTAACAACCATACCACAGTGTGGTGAAGGGTATAAAAATGGTAAAAAACATATTATTACTTTAAATCCGATGTGGAGTTATAGGGGGCTATATTAAAACGTGGACCTATATCAGTTATATTCAATAGGATAATACCTATGCACATGAGCAATTTCCAACTGTTTACATATATTCGTTTTTAAGATATTAATTTTTCACCGCTAGATTTGCTTTTCACCCACTGTGCGACGTTTTAAAGACAGTTTTTATTTTTTGACAATTAATGCATGAACTCAAGTGCCTTCGACTGTTCTGTCGTTTGTAAACACAGGGTTATTTCAGGATATATTTTGAATATTAGAGCTCAAAATGCCTATCATCTTGGAAAATGAAATGAATGTCATAAAATAAAATGCCGTAAATTGATAAAGGATTTATTTTTCCAGTTTTACTATTTACAAGTTAACTCATTTTACTAATTTATGTATTTTTGTTGTAGATTCTCCGAAAAATGTCGCCTTTAATTGTGTTGACACTTTTATTTTCGGCAACACTATGCAGTGCTCAGTTCTTTTATGCTCAACCGGCTAGATTGGCCCAATATCACACTCTATCAACCGGTACACAACAGTATGCTCACCCGTCTGTAGTGGACAATGCATATCGCGAAGCTCAATTGCCTCCGGAACTGAAGAAGAGCGACCGTTTCTACAATAACCCACACATTGCTGCCGCACTGGCCAAAGAGTCTTGGTTTACAGACAAAGAGATGCCGGTGGTCAATCGTGAAGCAGAGAAAATTCCCCGAGAAATGGTTTTCAAGATATTCAAAAATGCTGGCTGGATTATGCGTAGATAGAGATATCCGAATATTTATCGTTTAGTTAATTAGTTCATATTGTTGTTTTTTTTTTGTTATCGTTGTATAATTTTCCATGTAAAGAAATAGAAAAGACACACACACAATGGTAGGATTATAAGTGGAATAAAGTTACTGTTTGAAATATAAATATTTATACTTTTCGTTGTTTAGTCGAAGTGTGTACTGAGCTGCTCTTATCAGTCAGTTTGTTCATCTCGTACTTGGTATAACGGTGATACTATTTCGTTCTTTTTAAGGAACTTTAGTGCAAAGTTTCAAAAAATCCATAAATTTATAGAAGAATAAAAAAACAACTCTGTAGGTACCCAGTAGTTCGAGTAACTGGTTATAAACTAGTTATTTTACTAATTACCTGTAACTACCACTAGTTACCACATCATGCCCTAGACTGGTGAATTTAACATGGGTATGTCATTGGGGAAGTCAATTGTCCCCTGCCTGCAGTAACCAGTCATTTGGCTAGATACCATCGTTAAGTATTATTCCTAGTTACAAATATATAGCAAATTGGCTATTATAACAGTTTGGAAAATTGAAAATATAAATGTTATACGGGAAATGTATTTCTTATTTATTTCATAATTTATATCCATAGTTTATGTTTTGCCTAATTTTATCAGAAAATTTACGCCGCCATATTGACATTTGCATTTTTTTGTTTCTTCACCGCTTTTGACATCCGTTCTCATCACGAAATATTGAAGCATCTGAAACTGAAAATTACAAAATATAAATAAAGATATGGGTCTTTTTGAAGAATGTTTACCTATTCAAAACTTTTAATTATTTTCTCAATCTGTAGGATGCTTCTGGAGTGACATCTATTGAAAATCTGTAAGATAATAATGTTGAAATATTACGTATATATATATATATATATATATTGTGTTGCAATAACAAAACTTACCCAAGATTTGTCATAAGTTTTTTTTAAGATTCCGAGACTTTTAATTCAACGGCACTTCATCTTGTATATCGTGGATATATATGACTTATATATGCTTAAAAGAAAATTTTTGCTTTCACAATTCTGAAAATTACAAAAGTTCTGAAGAAAATGACAATTCCTTTTTTTGTTTTGTTTGACAATTTTTTGCTATTACAGAATTAGATAGCTTTTTCAATCAATAAATGAAGTCAATAATCTATTTTGTGTGCCACTTTTGGGCATAAAGTAACAACTGGGTAGTGGTTTCTTCTGTCATATAAAAAAACAATTAAATTTCAACTTTATTTTAATTTATTCCAAGGTGTATTTAATAAGGTGTATGCATCAGATACAACAACAAATATTTTACAAAAACAACATTGTTGTTATAGAAATTAAATTGTCATGCTGACAATAAGTTTTTGGCAAAAATAAACAAAAACAATTATTAATATATTTTTGTCAAGAACTATTCTTTGAGGAATAATTAATGAATTTGTGTATTCTTGGGTTATTGGCGTTTTAGGTCAGTGAAAAATAAAGTTTAAGACCTGGTCGCGATTAATTTCAAGTTTCCCACAATTAGCCCATGGCTCCTTGTGATGTTGTTTATATTGTGGATTACAATCTATTTTTTCTATGGAGTTGCTTCAAATCTTGCCTTCTTAAAGAAAATTGAAGGACATAAATCCCCGGCCAAAGACTAAATCATGGAAATTGTGTTGACCGTATAAAATCTTTCCATAGGCGTATTTAACCTCCGCCGAGAATTGTGACAAGCACCAAGGGGCCGATTCCAATATAGGCTAACATAATCTCCTCGATTTTATGAGTAGCTGGGGTTTCTGGACAGATTTCCACACATAACATAAAATATGTGGAGCAATCGTCCCCTCTACGAATGTAGCTTTCGTGTATTTTTATTATTAAAAAAGTCTAAAGACCATTTTTGAAATCGAAATGTAATATTGAAACAATAAAGAAAAAAGTTTGAAACCATATGATTGTCACTTACACCTTATTAAATACACCTTGATTTATTCGACATGGTATTCGAAATACTTACAGCCTTACCTAAAATTCAACTAGTTCGTTCGACGTTTTTCACCACAAAAGTAGAAGACATGTATTTATATGACTGTTACCAAAATACGTCGAACGTACAAAATTTCAAGTTGAACAATTTCAACTTTGACAGAACGTATTTTTATTTTTTTTCTTTCGTTGCAAACAAAAACAAAATATTCTGGAAATTTGGAATGAATTTTGCAAAAGTGGGGAAGTTGAATATTTTTGTACGCCCCGTCGGATTTTAGGTAACGTTGTTACACATACACGAAATATGTAGTTTGATTTGATAGAATAGGTCACCTTGAAAAAAGATGTCAATCAGTTGATAGAAATGTGTTTGTATACGTAAACACACTTTATATCGTTTTAATATTAGTTTAAACAACTAGGATGTTGTACCCTGATTTAGAATTTTATTATTATTATTTATTATATTTAATTTGGATTTGTTTCTAATATATAATTAATGGATGTTAGATCAAACCATGGTATAATTATTACAAGGTAGGGCAACGCTACCAACTGATTACAATTTTTTCTCAAGGTGGCTTGTTCCATCAAATCAAAATACATATTTTGTGTATGTGTGTGTATTGTTTTGAATACAATGTCAAATAAATTCAAAATAAATTGAAATATATTCAAGTTTAATTAAATAAAAATAAAGTTTTTAACACGTTCGTCTGGAAGTAATTACTTTGTTATGGATGAACCAACATTTTATGGTATTCCCTACTGGATTGTGGGAAGAAATCATAATCTTTCATTCATTTTTCGCGTTTTTAGTTTTGTGTTGAAAAAATGTGAAATAAACACAAACACTTGTTGCGTATATTTATTTTATTTTTTGGCAGAAGAGGCCACACGTGCATAGTTGTTTTTTTGTTATTCACTTCAAGCTGCCCTACCTTGTTTTATTGTACCATGGATCAAACCCATGGTATAATAATAGAAGGTAAACGGTAGTTTACATTTAACCGGATTTGGTTAACCCAGTGGGTTTAAGTTTTCAATTCCTTTGAATATATGCCAAATAAATCCCATAAAGCAGGTTAACCCGGTAAAAAGTTATAATGTAACAGTACGTTTACATTTAACCGGATTTCGTTAACCCAGTGGGTTTCAATTGCCATTTCCTTTGCATATATGTCAAATAAATCGTCATAAAGTAGTAGTAGGAGTTTAAATGCCGTATAACAGCACATGGAAATTTGCTGTTGTAAGTTATACTAGTGTCAACGTAATTTGACAGAAAAATGTAAACAAACAAATTATATTTATTTTGAAAATGTAATATTTTCGAATCCTCAAAATTAAATTGAAAAGCATGAATGAAAATCTATCTAATTTATATTTCTATCGCTTCCACATCGTTCGTATAATTGAGCCATTGCCATTTATATGTGTAACACATATAAAAATGCTGGGACTTGTGAGTTATTCCATGAAGAAAAATTTGCTACCTCAAACTTTCCCAGCAGGCAGATGGAGTAAATTGAATACGGAGGACATTTAATATAGAACAATTTTCCAGTTCTGTATTTTTAAAAAACGTAATTTGTCATATTCATATTGACACTAGTATTACGTTAAACTCAAGCTGGGTTCTGCTGTTACCTTTTATAATTGTATCATGGATCAAACCATTCTTAATACATACAGCTGTAGTGTAAATCGTATATCAACACTTATACACATATTTGGTCTGTTCCTGCAATTCTGCATAATTAGTCAGTAGTCACACGAGTAAAATTTCATGACAAATGTTCTCCTCAATTTCTTTAAAAATGTCATTGTTGTTTAGACACGCAAAAATTCCTTGCTTCAAATTTTGAATTTTCTAATTCTTCTAAATAATTCATTATAAATATAAATTATTTAACAATTTTTGCCACTGAACACATAATATGCGTACATTTCGATGGAAGATATTTTTATTTAAACTCTGGAAGTTGAATACTTTCAAAGGCAAATTTATGAAAAATTATAAACATATGACTGCATGAGACTACCTTGTAAAATTATGCCATGGATATCATAAAGGAAAATTTGTTATCATAGTAAAAATAGGAGATTCCTACAGTACAGGACCAATTATGTATTTTGTAGTTAATATTAGCATATGGAATTATACCTCTATTCAGGCTCTTACTTGAGTGCATCCTACATTTTCAAAGTATATCTTTTAGTAGCTAAATGCTATACGACAAAATAGTGACGAGGAGTTCCAAAAAATATACGTGGAACCAAAAATTATTGCCGACAAATTTGGGGCAGAAGTTTCAGTTCCAAGAAGGGTTGGTACGTAAAAGTACAGGTCAAATGTAATGAATACGAACTCCGAATTTTTTATAGAAGTACATTATTTGCCCCATACTTTGACGAACTAATTGTAAATATGGCAAACTAATTTCTGGAAAATAAAAAAGTTGTTAAAACATTATGAAATGTATTGCCATCAAGATTTTTGAAATTTTTATATAAAGATTTTAGAGCAATCATACAATGTCATAAAAAAGATTTCAAAAGAGCAAAATATCCCCGGCCTTCTAATCCACTTGATGCGATTGTTTCCAAATATAAGTATGTTGTTACACATCTTAATTTGTTTTAGAAATATTGTTAAGTCGTATTAATTTAGTTTAAGGCTGTGCCCTTCAAGATGTTTAATATAAGAATTTAACATGTGTTCAAATAATCTATATATATATATATATGGGCAATATTGTCAATTTTTTAACATAGCCGAAGCGGAGGTTCACCCCTTTATAACTCGGGAATTACTTAAGTATATGAAAAAAGTGAATAGTTTTGGGTTAATAGATCTGTTGTTGCAAACTGTTCATGATATTGGCCTCCAAACTTTATTTTGGTGGAAGCTGTGTCTACTTTAATGTAAAAAATGTGTAAAAACAGTTTTTATATGTTCTCTATCGATTTGTGATTAAGCCACTCATTTCACGGTCTTCGTGTCAAA